AAAGGGAAACTAATAATAACAATTGCTCAAATATTACTCTGATGAGTGAGCCATACATTTGCCTAATAAGCTCTAGAAAGGTTTATGACCTACTTCATATTTTATATGAATTTAGTAACATCCAGAAAAGGAAAAACGACCACATATTTAGGTGAATTCTAAAATTCATTTACTAGACAAGTCTTTAATACCTACCTTGCAATATTGACACACCTTTGATATTACACTCTTGCAGAATATGCTCTTGCAAATCTGGCTTCAGAGTCCCAATTTAACCATGTTATGCTGATACACTTATGCATACTAAGCATATCTGTGTCAGCTGTTCTGAAATGTTTTTCAGCCCTTTTCTTTTCTGGTAATAACTTGGGATCCCTCTCTACCTTCTTGAATTTACTTTGTGTACAGCTTGCCTGGGCCCTCATTTGTATATACACTTCCACATTTTACTCTCCCCCTGCAGTTGCACTAAATGCAGCTATCCATATTATTTTGCTCCACGGGCACCTGCCAAGCCTTTGCATCTCTAGTGCCGGAAAACTGGCTCTGGCTCAAGCCACGTTAACACCAGCCTCCAAACTTTCAGTTTTCAGCAACGCCCTTCCCCAGTGCCCTGAAATGCACCGCAGGCATATAGCAGTCCCCTGAGATCCCTTTCACTCAGGTCCTAGGAAGGCCGACTCTGACCTCTTCACTCTCCCTCTCCAGTCGCTTCTCAAACCACCTCTCCTTTTTTGCAGCCTGGTATCCCACAGCTGGCTCCAGGAGGTGTCCGAGGGAAGAGCAGGGCGGCCCTGGCCAGGCAGCCGGTGGAGCTACCCCAGCACAGCCCTCCAGCTCAGCGTAGCTCACTGCAAGGGGCACGCAGGCCCCATCAGCTCTCCAAACAACATCGCATATATGAGAGCAAGCCTCTTGAACAATAACTTCTGGCCCTGTTCCCATGCACTCAAAGGGCTTTTCAGATGGCTGTTACAGAGGAGAGAGCTTTTGGAGCAAGGAGGAGAAGCGAGTTAGGAGAAACGAGGGAGACATTGGAGGAGAACGAGCAGAGACACAGGGAAGGGGGAAAAAAGAGTGAATTTTTCTGGGGTTCCTTGCACAGGAATGCTTTTCGGAGAAACAATGACCTGCTTACAAAACATTTTTAGTCTAATGCAGCCAAGCTGCAGCTCTGCTAGAAAGATAACTAGTAAACACACAGGCAACACAGTGTCTGATTGCCTACCAGACACATTCATGACCGTTTCTAGAAAAAAATAAATACTTAATGCTACTGTATGAGAAAGACTGTCCTGAATTTGTAAACATATGCATTTGACTAATAGACATCATAAAAAGCAGTAACAATAAAAACAAGGAACAAGAAACCATTCTAAAGCCAATTTAACATAAAAATCAATACAAAGTTTTGGCCTCAATTTTCATCTTAATAGAGTGCAAATTTTCCCACTAATTAAAACTGAGATCTGGACCATTAAAATACAACAGGTGATAAATATCCTTAGTTTGCAGAAGTTGCTCAGCATTCAGAGGATTAGGTTCCTAAAAATAAGATTTATGCTCAAATAGAGTGCTTATGGGAATAGGGGCAATTTGCGCACATGGAGCTGAGGTCTGGATTTAACACGGCAAGTCCAGACTGAGGTACATTAGCAGAACTGAATAAGCACCCAGAAAATGGAGTGCTGAAGATCAAAACTGAAGCACGCTAACGGGCTTGGCAGATGGGAATGATGACGAACGCAGGATGCCTATTCACAAGACGCTTGACTCAAGCCAAAGCAATTAGTTCTTCCCTTCCACAAACACTACATTTTCTCATAAGAAGTTCTGTAGAAAAATCAATGTTTTTAAAATGAAGCTGTGTGTATAAGTTTAAATAAGGGTAAAAGATTATTTACATAAACTACACTCCATGAAAAGTTCATGAAAAATCGAGCCTGTGAAAACTAAATTCTATGAAATGGCTTCTTTGCAAAACTGTTACAGTAACTTCAACCTCTCTTAACATACCCTATGATAATCTTTATCCAGTATTATTTTAGCAATAATACTCTGAAAATATTATGTAAGTGGAGAACATTAAACAAATGCGTAGCACAACAGATGCATTTATCCCTAAATAATCTTGTTGCTTGGAAAGTAAATCAACCCCAACAACTATTAGTGCTAACAAATTAGAGGAGTTATGAAAGCAATTCAGAAAAATGGTCAAATTTATAAATAGCTTGTTATAGGTTATGTGAAGCTGCCTAATTCTCCACATGTCCGGATGGTCCCCAATTAAATAATGTGTGTGCCTTACCTCCAAACAGATTTAAAAAACATAGTAAGACCTTTTGAGTAGTAGAGAGAGCCCTTCTTCACAGGCTATTTGCAAAGGTGTTGTTTTTGCCTGTAGCTTTTGTGAGTAAAAAGTTGTGGTGTCTTGCTCTGAGTAGCGCTTTTAGTTCTTGCACAGAAAAAAGTATATGTTGTTAGTCTATGTTTCTTTTTTTTGCTGGTGCCCTGTGAGAAATACAAAGGATCCCCTACTACCAGCATCACTGTATGACAAACCAAGAAAACATCTCCCCACGTTGGGCTCCCTGGAGCCCGTGCTGCAGGTGAAGCATGCCTGGGTGCCAGTGAGCTCTGCTAACTCCTGCCAGGCCAGGAGGTTCCCTACGGGAGCAGGCACATCCAGGCCCTGCATCAGACAGAGGAGCAATAATGCGTGTAACCTTGCTGCTGTACTTTGGCCTTGACTTCTTGGGAGAAACGGAGGCGCTATAACACCCAGAGGCATGCAGATGGCAAAGGGTACTGGATGTCCCCCTAGCCAGAAATCCACACATACTTTGTGCATAGTTAGAGACTGGAAGAGGACAAGTGAAAAAGCTTCCAGCTCAGACTTCTCCTACACCCTTTGGGTAGTAAAAACTAGCACAAATTAGGCAATGCTACACAGCACATTACAGGAATGAGTGAAGAAGATAATCCTGGCTTAGACAGCATGCTGGAAGAGCCCCTGTGACATGCCAGAACAGCCCAAGGGTTTGCAGTGCTCCCAAGCGTGTGGAGATGACTAGATCCTCCAAGAGTGCTGGCAAAGGCCTGCCATGCAGGAGTGCATTCAATGCCCTGCCGCTACTCAGCGGGACGCTCTGAACTGAAACATTCGGAAGAGTAGTAGACACAGTTCCTAGAGCAACCTTTGTCCGTCCCAGGAAACACTCCAAACACCATAATGCTGACTAATCACTTAGAATAGTCACACCTTTAAAAATGCAGGGGTCTTCTAGTGAAATGGTTGCATTACATTACCCCTGAAGGAGGTAATTTTTCTGTTATGAATGAGGATCTTGAGGGAGATTTTCCTAGTCCATCCCTCACTTTGAATCTAATACAGAAACAATAAAAAACAGCTATCTAGCCAGCTAGTTCCTTTTTCCTCAGGAAACCTTTAGATTTGCATCATTTAAAACAGGCAGGATAAGGGCACTGCATATTGCATGGAACAACCCTGCAATGAAATGAGATGGCCCAATAGCATTTTATCATCTTGAGTTTCTAAAAAGGCTAACCACAAGTCAAATACCACATGTGGTACATACTGCCAACTACTTTATTCCTTGCTTAGAAAAAGACTGTCAAAAACATTTCATTAAATGTTAGTTTTTGTTAAACAAGAAAAACTAAAGACACAACAACTGGGAAGCAGGAGGAGAGACTATGGGAAAGACAGGCCTGGAAAAACCATCTACAGAAGAAGGAACTGCATTCTAACCAAAGATAAGCAGTTCTTACTCCAAAGCCTTTCTGCGAAACGCTCTTTCAGGCGTTAAACGGGAGTGGTGTGACTGGCCTGAGCGAGGTTTCAGAATCCTGGAATCTCTTTCTAACTCTGTGTGTCAGGTACTCCTAGGAAGGCACTTCCATTTTCCAGCATTAGTTACTCCCTATCTACAATAACAGTAACAATATTGTCTCCTTTATTTTTATGGACCTTTGTGTTTCCACTGTTCAAAGTAAAAGGAAAAAAGTATAGAAAAGGGAGCAATGTTAAGAGATTATCTAGCTCAGTCTCTTTCTCTGAATGAAGGTTAAATAAACCTGTGGAGTTTCTGATTACACAGCCTTAAAGGCTTTCAGTGATAGAGGCAACTTCCCAGGAAAGTAATTCTAGTGTTTACTTATGCCACCCATAAGAAAGCTTTTTCCAGTGTCTAACTGGAAATCTTCCCTGGTTTAAATTAAGGTTATTATTAGTTTTCCTTTGTCAAACAAAAATGTGAAAAATGGATTAGAGCTTTCACCCCTTACAGCACCCTTTTATGGATTTAAAAGATGTACCTGCCCATGACATATTTTATTTTGGGGTACAGAAATCTTTACTTTCACACTAGGCTTTCTGGACCTCTGAAGACTGACAATGGACTCCCATGGAATCTTTGCAAAAAAAGAAATCTTTTCTGAAACATGCAAAACTGAGCTCTCTATTTCTGTTGAGAATACTTAACACCCAATTATGGATATTTTGTACTTATTCCTGTTAAATTACATCCAATTGTAAAAGACCATTTTCTAGATCTGTCATATTTTGCCATTTTGTTTTGAAAACTAACTCTGCTAACTTTTTGCTCCTTCTGATTTTACTTCTAATGCTATTGCTGTTTTACACCTACCTTCAGTAATTTGACAGAAGTAACTCTTAGTTGTCTGATTATTTAGGCTTGACATCAAGCCAGAGCTAATAATTTAGTCCCACTAATTTTTTTCCTATACTTCTACAGGAGGATACAGAAAAGCAAGGGAACTGAAAAGAAGTAGGGAAAAAAAGCATAAGGAAAAAAAAGAGACTGACTCAACATTATGGAAGAGAAAGGAAAAGAGAAAAGGAATATTTAGCTACAAAAGAGGAAAGAATGACAACTCAAACATCAACAGGTATATTACTCCACACATTCTGAAATGTATTTTCTCACAGTATTCATTTATGTAATCACAGTACTTACATGTGAGTGACTTGACGTAAGCTGTTGAAGGAATGGGCCTCCAGACTCTGAAGTGTTTCATCTATAGAGATGTAGCTAAACACCAGAAAACAGAAAAAGAAATAAGTCAGTGAGCGTGGCAAACCACGGCTAGTGCCCATCATGTCACTTTATCTTTCTTCTCACTCTTTTTCTCATCCACCTACCATGGAACTTTCAATAGGACTTTGATTTGGACTGATGTCTTAGATGCATAGCATACTACAGAATGCAGGTGCATCAAAAAGACACAGCAATGTCTTTTTGCGCGCTATGCAGCAAAAGTGCACTTCCTGATTTCACATTTCAGAATTGTATTTCTTCCCTTTTCCCCGCCTAAGATCACCATGGAGTTCTTTAATGAGATCTAGTCCTCAGTTAAACTGGTATATTTTTCTATGTACAAGAATAAAAAAAGGAAAGAAGGAAACAAAGACAGCCCTCAGGCCATCACTGCCGTAACTGCCACAACTTCACTAGAGAGAAACAAATCACCAGGGCAACTGCTGTTTTTATATTGTTGAGAAAAAAATTATGCTCTAACATGAATTTAGAGAGAAAATTTAGCCATATAGTGACTGTCATAAAGGATATAATGAGCAACGGTGACTCACTAGCAAGATGCAAAACAAAGAGCTTAAGAAATACTTATATTACTTATATTAAGTATATTACTTATACTTATTTATACCTATACTGAGTAGCATTTATACCGCTACAGAGCTACTGAATGAGATGAAAAAATAGCTCTACAGAGTGTCTCCATCTTCATTAGAGATATAATAAGACTAGAACTACTTTGTTAAAAGCTTTGAAATGTGAATAAAGTTGCAATGCAACTAATCAGTGCAGATTTTCAGAGTAATTTTGACTTATTACTACGTGATATACATTACCCAATTCTATCTTTCTAAATACCTCTTAGTTTTAAAAATTGAAAAATGCTGGAATGGCATGTAAAAGATGTATTCCTGTATGTCATTTACTTTTCTTATCATATTTCATATCATATTTCTAATCTATGCCTTTTAAAACAATTGGAATCCCTTGCATATACATTATATTTATTATTAAAATATTTACATATTATCTTTTGATAATGTTGTATTTACTACTCGATCAAAATAAAGTAAAAAAATTGACATACAAGGTACAAGATAAAATTTTTTTTAATCTCATAATATTCCTCTCAGAATGAATGTTACATGATCACTTACCTACAAAAGAAACGTTAAAGGGTTTTTTTTAATTCCTTGTTTATATCACAGTTACTGACTGAGTTTTTAATATTTTGCATGGTTGCACATATCCTGGGTAACTTAACCGTAATTTTAAATAGGTTGAAGTGCACTAAACACAAAATTAAATTGTCTAGAGGCGATTTAAAAGTCAAATTGAGATATCAGAATTGAATGAAGAAAAATAAATAGAATATTTATCATATTATATATATATATATATATATACACATATATAAAATACGCCTTTTCTCCCCTTTAAACAGTAGACATATAATTAGACATTAACTTAAATAATGTCTGATATTTCACATCAGTTCTAATATGGGTTGTGTTCTATAAACAAAACAGAAAAGATTTTTAACGTTACTTCAATGTTTTCCAGACATAGTATTAATAGTAACAATAGTATATAGTAAATAAAATATGAGCTTTTAACCTAATAGGTTAAGTAAAAGGTTTTAATGCAATAGCTTATAAATCAGTTTGAGGAGTTTTCTATAGAAATTCTCCAGAAGATTTCTTTCAATGGCATAGCTTATTTAAATAATACTTAAAATGTTTTAACAAATAAGAAGCAATACTTTGTGTCCAGGGTGTGCTTTAACAACCAGCAGACAACTAATACCACTATCTGTTCTCAGGGAGTTTAGGTCCTCTCCATACTAGAACTAACATGTTACATGTTACCTGTAGTAATTTTAACCCTTCTAACATGAGGTGTAGATGTACTTTTTATTGATTATTTTAGAGACGTATTCAACAGAGTTTGCATAGTTATGGGAAAGCAGGTTATAAACAAGTAGAGACTGTATGACCAGCAGATTCTCTTTCCACAGTAATATTCCTTTAAGAAAGCTATTCTTTTCTCACAAAAGGAAGGAAAAATGTAAAAGAGGGATAGAGGAAGTATTTCCAGTCCATACCTCTGTGACTGAGTATTGTTTGTGTAAGACCATTTAATTGTGATTTCCTCTAAGCAGTAAATGTTTACTTCTCACAAAACTGGAGTTCCAGTCTTAACAGAAAAATTAACTATTCAATTTTACCAGACCCTACATTTTAACATATCTAAAAGATTATATCAAGGTTATATCAATGACACATTAAAAAAAAATCTGTTCTATGTAGTGAACAGCTATGTGTGCATCAGCTTGACAGAAAATGAAAACCAGAAAATGAACAGACATCATATACTCATGCCAAGCAGGCAGGGCTAGGAACTAGGGGGCACCTTTTTTGTGCCCGGGGATCAAAATCGGCCAACTGACATCAGGCAGGCACAGTGCCATTTTCTCACATAGGAGATGAGGCAGAAAAGCAGCGTACTGTAGTTCCTCCCTGCTTTCTCTAACCCCCCAGCCACCCTTCAGACCACTCGTCATGCCACGTTTTTTAAAAAACTGTATTCCATTTAAAAATACTGTATGTTCAGCCTGTACTAAATCAGCAGGGGATGCAAATACCAAAGAAAGCCCTTCTACTAAGATTTAATGTATTTTCAACTCCAAGGCTGTAAAATAGAATTTTCTGTTGCATCTGAATACTTTATAAAACATTTTTTCAATGGTCTTATCGTAAAAACGAAGCATATGCATTTCTGACAGGAATTAACTTTGCACTTGAGCATTTCACTGAATTGCTTTTTGTTTCATTCCTGTGACAAAGCAGCAAAGAAAACAATCCCTATTTCTGGCTAGCAAGAGTACATAGATATATATTAATTTAAGAGAAATAGTAGCTCTAAAAATTTTATTTAAACAAGGTTCGTAAAGAGGCCAACTAAATTTTCTATTCAGTACAGATAAGAAAAAGTTTAATTTGTGGAAATGATATAGTAAGAACTTTATAGTGAAATAAAACTCTATATCTGGGACAGTAAGCAAGCTCTTTGTTATCCTATTAAAACTTCAGAACATTTTCTAGCTGAGTTTATCAAGCAAGGAATATCTGGTAATTTTCATTATTCATGGAAATTATGAGCTGTGAGTGCAAGATCAGATATATGGTACATTACAGATGCCAAGACACACACATGAGAGCTTTAGTAAAAAATGCAGGTAATGGTTCCTTAACCCTCACTTCATAACAAAAAAGTAGGAATTGGTGATTTGTAACAGTAGTCATGCTATGAGAAAAATCCAGAAGGGCATTGACATTGTGCAAATTTAAGCCCCTAATTATTTTTCACAGGCTTTTTAAAATAAACAACAAAAAGAGAAATGTGGTAATCCAGAAAGCATTTCACCCCAGAAGTCCAACACAGATCCCTTCTAGAGGAATATCTTTGATTCTCAGCCAAAAGGAGAAAACAGAGAGCTATGTTAGCTGCATGCAGATAGGCAATGTGAACACCCCTTCCTTCCAAGACATGTCTGCACCATTTGGTTGCTATGAAAGAACAGGAATGTTTGGTGAAACAGGTCCATTCGCAGCAGAGAAAGAGTAATGCTACCACTTCAGGTCATGATTTTAGGTAGGTCACTGCCGAATTTAATTGTATATATGCTAGTTTGCTACCCATAAAAGTGGCGTAGGAGGAAGGTAAAACTCCACATTCAGATCGTGTCTTTGAAGAATAATTTGGAGAAAATAATTGACTTTTTTTTGCCCAAGTAGCCTTGAAATCATGAGCCAAATAAATAAACTAACATGTATGCCTATTCATGTCATTTAAGGCTGCAAGGGCTTTGTAATTTTTGACTTTCCTCTTCTGTAAACTGATTAAACCATGCAAAAGAGTGGTTATATGTTGCTTTATTACTACTAAACAACATACATAGCCGAAAGATTATCAGTGACTCATAAAGCCCATGGAGACTAGGTGGCTGAGTATCCCTAGCTTACTAGATCATTAAGTGATCTAAAGACAAGGCTGTATGAATAGCACTTCCTTACCTCCAGTGCCATGAAGATTAGAAATATTCGGTTTAAGAGCCTTTCGGGCCACTGGAATTTTTTGGAGGTTAGGCATTTCTGGAGAAAAGTTTACTGAGTTCTTCAAATGAACACTTATGCTTTTACAAATTCATAAATATTATTATATGAGAATTTTGCAAACTGAAAGGCATCTAAGAAATAGGTGATATGTCAGTAAAAGCCAAAGAAGATTTTACATCCTTTTAAATTTAAGAAAACTATGCGTTGTACAAAAGTTATCTGGTTGGTATCTGATACTGTAAGTCACATAAGGGATACTTAGAAAAAAAAAAACAAGCCATCTATCTGATGAAAGTGAGATAGTAGATTAGGCTGCAGATATTCAAGAACAATTACTTATAAGGATTTCAGAAAGTCAATACTTCAGGGCAACTAGCTGCAACTATAAAATATTATAATTAAGCAGACCTCCAGGTCACCTCAAAGTCCCATTTTATGAATTCTTAAATGTTAATCCATCTCAACCATTTAGCCAAGGCTCAGCTGGAGTTGAGACTCGCAAAGGATGTCAAGGACAACAAATGCTTCTACTACTACACTAGTAATAAAACACTGAATAAGGAAAATGAGTGCCTGTTGCTGAACGATTGATTTAGTTAACAGTGGACACAGATATGGCTGTGCACCAGACTAGGCAACCTGACCTGACCCTGAACAACCTGGTCAGATGTCATAGTTGACCCGACTTTGAACAGGTGGTTGGACTGGAGGCCTCTCCGAATTATAATATTCTGTAATTCTAGGGAGGGAACTGAGAGATGGCAGAGAAGTTGCCTAGGTCAATTAGCCATGAGCAAGATGCTAGATTATGTGCCAGCTATCAAGAAGAAGAAATAGACTTTGGACAACTTTGGCTCAGGACTGCTGACATCAATGACCAATACAGTGCATGAACAGGTAGCCATTTGCAATGGGAAAAAAGCTGATATGAGGCTAATATGTAGATGCTGCTCACTGTACATTTGGGTATTAGTGTATCTGTGCACGTGTTTACATATGGAAGTGACTGATAAGTCCATGTGGCACCCCACAAATATTAATGCTTTTGTGAAAGTCCATTCATATTGTAGAAACGCTACAGAATTTCCAACCAATATGAATTACAAGTCATTATGGTAGCTGGAAACAAAATTTTAGTTTGGACCAGCAATATAATATGTGAGTTATTTTGAAGGAAACCATTTCTTGCATTTTGTGAACTGCAAAGAAAAAATCTTGTTGACTCATTTATCATATGTATTTCAATAAAAGTATGCTCTTATCCATGCTTAATATACCTTCCCGTAGCCAGATCAGACTATAAGCAATGGGAAGATTAGTTGCAATTCTGAAATGTAAATAGCGAGCTAGCAATGGTGCAAGAATTTTTTAGGCTCATAAGATTTTATATACAAAGAGAGGAATTTGGAGAAGAAGGGAAAGAAAGATGATTTTTAATAAAAGAGCTAAAATTAATAATGTCAGAAACAGAACTTACATCCTAGAGATATTGGGGAGATTGGAAAAAGCTTCGCTTGGAATTGTTCTTAGATGAGTCTCCATAAATCTCCTATAGAAATAAAAGGTTGGCTGTTAGAGGATTTGGTAAGTACAGTTTAACATTAAAAAATCCTACACAACTCCAGCTCTGCTCCAAAATTCCTGTTCCTGTCTTCCTTTTTCACAAGGTTTCCATCTTTGCCTTATCTCTATTCCTATTTCATTATTTGGTTTGGCTTGGTTGGTTGGCTCCCTCATTCTGCAATAGAAGCTTCTGAATTGTCTTTCCTAGGAATTCGGCATTCAGTGGCAATTAAACCTAAATCTACCCAAATTCCAGAGCACTACCAGCAAACATTTAAAAGTCAACTTTACTTTTACTCGTTGAAGTAAGTGAAGTATTAAATGAGTAATCATTCTTGTAACCATTTTGAGCTCTCAAAAACACGTGTCATACCTGCTTCCAGCCAAGAAGAAGAATAAAAAAAAGGTAGGCCATCAGCAGATGCATGTCACTGCCGCCACCACGTTAAAAAAAGCAGTGCTTTGTCTCTGCTTATCGTAGAGGCAATATCACCATAATCACAAAAACCTACTCAGGGCAAAAGCCTCTCTAATTCGGAAACAATAATATAATTCTAACAGTTTCCTTTATGTGCTACATACAGCCTGATGCCAAGCATAGCACACTGCTGAAAGCATACTGTAACCTAAAGAAGAAAAACAGAAATAGCATAAATCAGGATTTTGACCACCTGTGGCTTCTGCAAAGAGCTGATAGCACTTTTTCTGATTAAAAAAAGGTTAAAATTCAGGTATACCAGCCAAAATTCTGTTAGAGCAATTGTGTTCTACCTCCATAAAATGATCCATATACTCTGTAATAAACACAGCATTCTTCTTCCCTCGTTCTTCTTCCCAGTGTACATTCTTATTTTTTAGCTTAAGTCAGTTAAAGCTGCAGTTCAGGAAAGAACAGAATAATGTGTCTTACCCCATCTGCAGGAAGATTTAGAAAAGCAGGCACTATTTAAGAGAGATACTTATCAACAGCCAGTTTCTTCACAGAATGGATTGCTAGCACACTGACTCCTCCAAAAACGTACAAAGTGCTTTGGAGAATTAGCCTATTATGTCTGTTAGACTTACAGTGACAACCTAGCATTGCTGGACGAGGTAATTTTTGGTTTTCCGGTACATCTGAGTATACACTTACTTAATATATAATCAATGAACAGTCTGAAGAATAATCAAGAGCAAATGATAACCTTTTCCCTTAGCTGCTGTTTAAGAACAACTTAATATCAAGAAAAGAACACATTAGGATCACTAAGTTGAATAATATTCTCTATTCCGTAATGTGAAATATCTGATTATAATATTTGTTTTAGACAGAAGACAAAATATTATTATCTTAAGAGTTATCAAACTCCTGGAACTTGCATATTAGAAATAAAAATATCTCTAAAAGTTTTTAAAACTTCCAAACTGAAGTATCAATATAGATTAAGAGAATGCACACTTGCACCATCACAGGGAAAGGCTACTGTCTACTTCCAAAGTATTCCTCCCCCTACTCCATACACTTGTTAAAAGAATAAACAAGAAGAACCTAGAGACTTGTGTTTATCCAGTATTGGGCCGATATTTCTCTTTCTGACTGCAGTACACCCTGGTGTCACCAAACTCCCAACCAGGGGGAGGCTGCTTGGTTCAGAAGCCTCCTAGCCCTACTCCCTGGACCCCATACCACCTTGACATCCATATCAGTACTCTCCCATCCTTTTCACTCCTCCACTTTATAATATTGCTTTCTTCTGTCATCATAGTCCTAGACTAAATGTTTGTAAAAAATATCTACTTTGTTAGTCCAACACGGCCTTCTGATCTTGATTGTGTTTCAACATCTGTCTGCATTTCCAGGCCTTTTAGGAAGTTAAGGATAACGACCGAGGAAGTGCTGGTATCAGACGGACTTTAACAAGTCTTAAAGGAGAACCGAGTGAATGATTTACAGCATATAGCTGTTTAAATAGAAAAAAACTGCCAGAAGCTTGTCTGCATCACTATAGCTCTGTCCTGTTGTGGAGCCAGTCTGTGGGATCCAATTAGACCAAAATACGAAACAGTGCAAATCCAGTTGCTGTTCCTCTTTAATCTCAGTCATTCAGAAAGGTGCCTCAAGACTTCTCCCTGAGATTGTTAGCAGAGTTCAGACGCCAAGAAAAATACAGGTTATGCCAGTTCAGATTATCCAAGGTCACTTTTAACCTGTTTTACACTACTCTAGTCCTCTGCTAACATACAAAATGCTGATTCACGATGGCCATAGTTACTTCTCACAGCCAGTTATCATAGAAACTTGCACTTAACCTACTACTTACCCATGAATCCATGTTACAGGAAAAGCAAGAATTTAAGCACTACCCTAAGTCTTCTGTTGACCTTCTACTTTTATGGCAACCGTTCAGCCCTCTCCATCTACGGCTGATAATGAACCGAGTCAGACACACCATTCATGTGCTACACATGAGCTAACTGAGCTCACATTAGTCTTCTATTGACATACCTCAAATTTACACACCCATCAGAAGAGCAAAATTCTGGATAACATTTATGAAGTAAATAACAATTTGTTGCTAACAAATGACTGTGTTATAAAATGCTTCTGCATTTGTAACTTTCCAGACAAGGCTTCTAATATCCCAAGAATAGACACAATGAAGAAACTTAGCCTTGAAATCTGTATTTTGACTGAACAGACGGTAAATTTATTGGGTTGGCTGGAAGTGGAAGAATAATATTTCCTCCCATCTATCTGCTGGAGCTTAAAGTAGTATCAACTTTCTGCAAATACGACAAAAAAGAACAGGCAGCACTGTATGGCTTTATAAAAGGACTTCTAGAGAGAAGTGAGGCAGTGAATATAGAGAAAAAATCTTAGACAGGCAAAGAAAAGCATTAGCACATTTATTTCATTACAAGAGAACTAACCTAGTTGTGAGATGAACCAGTATCAGAGAAGGGAAACACACTTAGAAGATTCAAATTTAAAAGTCCACAGGTAAGCTCTAAACTGAAGAAAGGCCTGAGATGATCTTAGTTTGGCCTAAAGTGTTGCTTCAGATTCTAAGGAAAGTATGTGAGGGGTTTGAGTGCAAGATGTATTATTACCTATACTGCTAGGTATTCTGGTGCGGCATAGTAAATGATAAAACTATATGAAGGCACAGTGAACTAAGATGGACTGAACTGATTCAACAGCTTCCTACCATCACAGGAGGGACAACTAGTTCTTCCACTCTTCCATTGCTCCCAGCTACGTGGACCCAAGGTTTGGCTTTGCTTTCTCTGAACTCATCTGACCCTTTAATGAACTAATACAACTCATTCATCTAGTAGGAAAGCAACCCCAAACAATAAAAATCAATCATTTTCTGGCAAGAAAAATAGTCAGGTCACTGAGGTGTCAGATGAGTACCACTACTCAGATGAGGAGAGAGAGGAGTCTGAGCAGCTGGGAACAACAGAGGAGGGAGGGAAGAACAGAATTGCCCCTTCAAGCAGCCATTCGATGTTAGATTCACTTCTGTACCTTCTCTGACTGTATCCTATATGTAGACGGCCTAAGGGAATGAACAGCAATATAGACTGCAGAGACACCGAGAACCTAGCAGTACATGACCCCCGTGGATCTAGAGTCATTGCAGGAGACTGGGGAATGTCCAAGCTACCATTCTGGTGAAGAAAGAGGGCTTCAATTGCAAATTGGAGCTTTTAGGCACTAATAATTCATAATGGCTTTATATGTTATATTTCTATTATCCTGACTATAAAATGTTTTACTAGTTGTAAATTGATACTGTAAATTAATACTATAAAACAATAAAGACTTAAAAGTCTGTGGCTTGCCGGACAGAAATATGTCTGGGAATAGTTTGCATTACCTCTACACTGAGTTCGATACTTCCTGGACCTATTAGGCCTACCACACACATGTGGCAACATCTTGAAGTGTTAGAATTACTACGCATGGGCTGCAAATCAAGCCCTACTGGTGTGGCAGACCCTTCTGTGCTGCTAGAAATCCTGAACCAATGGTCAATGTCTACCAAGTCTGCCCAAGTAAAATTTATAGTGGGAAAAATATTTGTGAAAAACAGGATCTACAGTACTCTTACAGAGAACATTTTCTGAAAGCAGAGAGAGAGAAGCCAGACAAAGCTTCAACTTTCTGAAATACGTTCACCAAGCTCTGTTACTTAATTGTGGACATTATTTTAGCATTACAGTTTGTATACTCATGTGCAGCTCCGTAAAGTTGGATGTTAAATCATTAGAAATAAATAAGCTGTATTGTACCTTACACACTTACAAAGACAATTATTAGATGCTTCTGTTTCTCCAATTCTGGTATATAAAAGATTATCTAAAGGAGAGCCCTAACCAAGTCAAAATAAAGCTACAGTAAACCTTCAAATCTATTAGGTTTTGATTTTAAAAAATGAGAAGTCAAGGAACCATCAGCGGAACCATCAGCAAATCTTTATATTCACGTTGCAGGTGTGACCTGTTGAGTAGGTTGACTCAAGTCTTTTGTATTCAAAGATGCATGAGTAACTCAAGTTGTAAGGAGAAATTACAGGCAAAAATAAACCTGATGTATAAACAATATGCTAAATAATAGAATTTAGTGACAAAGTAATTAGTGTTTGTTAGCTGACATTCTTCAACTACTTGACTGTTGATTGTTTAAAGAGTCAGTGATTATGCAGATCATAAAATGGAATTAATGCAATAGGCCTGGGGCCAGTGGCAAACTTGTAAGCATGTCTTTTTGTACAGCCATCCGCAGAGCTTCAGTTCTCTCAGAGTATTAAAAACCTGTAATCTGATATATTATCACTAATTTTAAGCTGCCTACTAAATCAATTTTAAAATTTGCAAAAAAAAATTTTAGTGTTTCAGTCTCTGTTTGCTAAGCATGAATCTGTGGGTAACTATTGGTAGAGAACTAAACATCACCATTGGTAAGGGAAAGCTGGGGGATGTATAGTAATTCTTAGCAGT